CATTAGGGCTGAAAAACAGAGAACAGAATGTAACAGCAAGTTGCATCATTTAATTTACATCTTGTTCCAGTTTCTTTTTTTTTCTTAATTTATTTTAAGAGCTTGATGTCAGACAAAAAAGCTGAACCAGATAGCTGGTGTAGCAAAGACAAGCAGAAAGCAAACATTAAGTAAGAAGGCAGACTGTGTGGTAAGCTTGCAATACACACGTGGTGTCCCATGTATCAGGATAATGTGAAAATAACAATGGAGCTAGCGAAGAATATACAGAGAATCTTTGCTAAGAGGAAAAAGCATATGGTCACTCCTGAAAACGTGTAAGAACAGATCAAATATATTGACTAAGATTAATATGTCTGAACAATACAACTATTTTTGTTAAATATATTATTTAGTATCCCTGGGCTTGACAGGAAAGATTGTCAACTTGATTTTTCTCTAGAATTTTAATGGAAGGACAATGCTGACTGTGCTAACTGATTAAGAATATTGAGTTTCCTTAATAATTAAAAATAGTTGTTATTAGTTAATGTATTAGTGAATGTTTTTGTTAACTTTTTGGTTCCAGACATTCCATGTTCCTCTGTTTATGAAAAAAAGATCATGTACTAAATATGTCTCTCACAAGTCCACCAAAGATTTTCTCCAAACAGAATCCAGGAATAATATTTTAAAAGATGGCATTATTTAAGTGAACTCAGCTATAAATATTTTAATTGCTCACAAAATGAATCAAATTGGTCAAATCCTTAACTCCTGCATAAGGAATTTGGTATATCTATGTGCTGGGAAGAACCATTATGTGGGTTCCAAATTACCTGCAAAAGTTGCAGCCAAGCCAGAAGTTCATGCTAAAAATTAATAATATTTACATAGGAAAAAAAAACAAAACAATTTAAATGGTATTGAAAATTGGCAAAATACTGGGTTTGGAAGGATAGTTGTGAATTGCTAAGACATTCAGGATACAAGCTGACAGTCTATAAGGTGACTAAAATAATTTCCTTGATGTTGTATTTGTGAGTTGCTTTGCTCCTTAGCCTATGCATATAGAAACACAACTGGTTTCCCAGTGACACAGATGCTATTAATATAAAGAAAAACTACCCGGGCTTTCAGGAAAGTACAAACTAGGACTTGCTAACAAGGGGTATGGCAATAGCTAAAGGCTGTAGTTGTCTGTATGAACAGCAAATGCCTCCAAAAGACAACTCATTAAAAAACTTAACTAATGTTACTTACCTGCTGACAATACTTAACTTTGTTACCATTTCAAAAGGCATAGCAAATCGTATATTCTGACTTCAAATTGAGGAGTGGGGCAAGAAGCATACACCCCTGGATAAATTTGTGGTCCATTCACACCTTGAATAGTGAAATTCCAGTCTCTTTCCTTCCAAAAATTTAATAGGAATGGAAAAGGCCCAGAGATGGGCAACAAGGATGATGAAAAGTATGAAATGGCTTCCAGGCTGGGATTCTGGAATAAGGATTAATAGGAAGGTACAGGATATATATATAAAAAAAATAAAAATAAAAATAATCATTTCAAAAGGCATAGCAAATCGTATATTCTGACTTCAAATTGAGGAGTGGGGCAAGAAGCATACACCCCTGGATAAATTTGTGGTCCATTCACACCTTGAATAGTGAAATTCCAGTCTCTTTCCTTCCAAAAATTTAATAGGAATGGAAAAGGCCCAGAGATGGGCAACAAGGATGATGAAAAGTATGAAATGGCTTCCAGGCTGGGATTCTGGAATAAGGATTAATAGGAAGGTACAGGATATATATATAAAAAAAATAAAAATAAAAATAAAAAACAAATAAAAAGCACTGCCAGCATGGACATGGATGGGTAGTTCTCTGACTGCGGTGAGCCACAATGAGATGCTCTCAGGAATCAGGTTCAGGACAAGCAAAAGGAGGTGATTTTCACACAACAGATGGTGGAACTTCCGTGTTCTGGGAATGCAAGATGTTTACAAGGTTTTAAGAGGAGATTAGACAAGCACTTGAAAAGTAACCCCTTGGAGTTACTATTTAGACAGACCACATCAGGGTCAGGGCAGGTGTAGGGTGGGAGGGTTTTGAAGGAAACCATCATGAATTTATTCTGTTCTTCCTTTTCCCTAGGTGTCTGCCCATGATCACAAGGAGGACAGAAATGTGACCTAGACAGAGTCTGGGTCTGAACCAGTGCGGACATTCCTATGTCGTTATGTCTCTTTAAAAAGCTAAAACATCATAAAAAGACACCGGAAAATCTGTGTTTCTGTATGGCTTGTACTATGCTTGCCTAGGTCTACATTATTTTTTGACCAGTCTTAAAAGTTTGGATATTTTTTGGCTTATTTTGGAGAAATACAACTGGTTTATATCTCATAGAAAAATAGCAAGAAAGCAAGAAAGGAAAGTCAGGATTGAATCCTAAATGTTACATTGTTTAATAGTTAGTTGCAAAGAACTCGTAATGCCTCCTGTGAACGAAACATTTATAGGTTATTTCTGGTGCTGAGAAGGACCCTTAATGGTTAAAAAACCCCACTAGGATCTTTCCAAGAGCCATCTCTGGCATGACTCCGATACAGCAATTTGCTGCAAATTGTATTTGTTACATCAATTGACTGCAGAAGAAAGAAATGTATGTCAGAACCTCACATAAATGTCCTCTCACAGACAAGATAACTCTCTTTTGAGCTACAGTAATGGAGACAATATTGGTTTGGATTGCTACAGACCTTCCCCTGAGTTTTTTGAAGGCTGCAGAGGTTCGGTGTAATTTGACAAGTTGCATTTAGGCTTTTGTGTTTGCCTTTAATTCCTGTGCACCAGGGTGTATCCTGATGCTGTAGCTGGAACCATCTGAGCAAAGGGCACAGAAGCACCTTTTGCTGCTTGTTGCAACTTGCAGGACTGGGACATTATGCAGTGCGCAGAAGTGCGCACATTTAGAGCAAAGATTTTGTTTCAAAATGTTTTTCTAAGTCCTGTGCTTGGCAACTTAAAGAGATGTTGCCCTTCTACATAGTGAATAGGTTCTTACTCCTCTAAATTAAGGACCAGCTCTGCAAAACTACACAAATGGAACTTATTGGACAAACACTACTGTTTATAACTGTTAAGTTGCATCACAGCTTTGGTTAAAAACTTATGTATTTCTGTCAACTCTACACACTTCATTTGCCTGCACAGATATTATTTGCAGGTTTGGCTCTGCCATGGTTGATTTCAGGATGGGCATTTGATTGCAACTTTCTTTATGTGTGCAGACCTTCAAAGACTACAGACCTGCTTAACTGTATTCCATGTAATGCAAAGGGAGGTGGTGAGGGACCTGCTCCAACACCTGGATACAAACAAGTCTATGGGCCCAGATGGGATCCACCCGAGGGCACTGAGGGAGCTGGTGGAAGTGCGCTCTGAGCCACTCTCCATCATTTACCAGCAGTCCTGGCAAACTGGGGAGGTCCCAGCTGACTGGCGTCTGGCAAATGTGATGCCCATCCACAAGAAGGGTCGGAAGGATGATCCAGGGAACTACAGGCCTGTCAGTCTGACCTCGGTGCCTGGGAAGGTCATGGAACAGATCATCTTGAGTGCCATTACGCAGACCATGAAGGACCCCCATGCGATCAGGCCCAGCCAGCACAGGTTCATGAGGGGCAGGTCCTGCTTGAGAAACCTCATGTCCTTCTGTGACACAGTGACCCGCTTGCTGGATGAGGGAAAGGCTCTGGATGTTGTTTACCTGGACTTTAGTAGGGCCGTTGGTACAGTCTCCCACAGTATCCTCCTGGAGAAAGTGGCTGCCCATGGCTTGGATGGGAATACCCTCTGCTGGGTTAGAAACTGAATGGAGTTAAATCCAGTTGGCGGCCGGTCATGAGTGGTGTCCCACAGGGCTCAGTACTGGGGCCAGTTCTCTTTAACATCTTCATCAATGATCTGGATGAGGGGATCGAGTGCACCCTCAGCAAACTTGCAGATGACACTAAACTGGGTGGGAGTGTTGACCTGCTGGAGGGTGGAAAGTCTTTGCAGAAGGATCTGGACAGGCTGGATGGATGGGCCCAGGCCAATGGGATGGGGTTCAACAAGGGCAAGTGCCGGGTCCTGCCCTTGGGTCCCACCAACCCCCTGCAGCGCTACAGGCCGGGGGCAGAGTGGCTGGAGCTGCCTGGCAGAAAAGGACCTGGGGGTGTTGGTGGCCTGTGGGCTGAACAGGAGCCAGCAGTGTGCCCAGGTGGCCAAGGAGGCCACCGAAAGACATTGAGGGGCTGGAGCGGGTCCAGAGAAGGGCAACAGAGCTGGTGAGGGGTCTGGAGAATAAGCCTTATGAGGAGAGGCTGAGGGAGCTGGGGGTGTTCAGCCTGGAGAAGAGGAGGCTGAGGGGAGACCTTCTCGCTCTCTCCAACTCCCTGAAAGGAGGGTGTAGCCAGGGGGGGTCGGTCTCTTCTCCCAAGGAACAGGCGATGGGACAAGAGGAAATGGCCTCAAGTTGTGCCAGGGGAGGTTGAGATTGGACACGAGGAAAAATGTTTCCACGGAAAGGGTTATTAAGCCTTGGAATGGGCTGCATGGGGAAGGGGTTGAGGCACCATCCCTGGAGATGTCAAAGATGGTTGACATAGAGCCTAGTGACATGGTTTAGTGATGGGTTGTTGTTGGTTTTTGTTGGGTTTTTTTGTTTTGTTTTAATCAGAGTTAGGTTGATGGTTGGAGTAGGTGATCTTAAAGGTCCCTTCCAACCTAGATGATTCTATGATTCTATTCACATTAGGTGTCCCATTGACTTCAGCTGCAATAGTAGTGATCCCAGTGCAAGATCGAGTAAGACATTTTTCTTGTATAGCAGTAAGATAACCTTCTATGTGTACACCTATGTAAAAAAAAATATGTAAAATTAGAAAATTAAAATAAACCATGTCTGCTTTGCAATGGAAAACCCACTAACAAAAATTCTTTTACAGCCACAAAAAAATAGAAACAAGAAATACTTAGTTTTTCCATGGGTTTCTTAAGTAACACCCAGTGCTATTGTTACAATGTTGTTCTCTTTTTAATTACACAACTATTTAAGAAAACACAATTCTGACTTATGAGGGAAGTTACATGGAATTACAAGGAAAACTTATAATGTAAACAGACAAGTATCATTCGTCTAAAATAAGAGACTGGTTCTTTACATGCTAGTAATTTTTTTTAGTCTTAGGAACCATTTGTTTTCCTTTCCTCTTATGAAAATAATTAAATTAATAGATGTTTGCCCCACTTCCCCCCCTCACACACACCAATACACAAGACCAAAAACACCCTCAGTAATTTTCCACTGGCACAACAGTCTTTCAGTGTCTGCCATCTGCTGTGCTGGCAGGACCCACAAGAGGAGTAGCAGGAGCAAGTCAGGAACTGGAATCTCATGTGAATATTCATTGACTTTTCATTGTCACAGCTGGTCCTCATCGTCTCCGAGACTGACCTTGCTTCCCACAACTTCGCTCTGACAGCTTTAGAGCCAGGGAGCAGACAGAAGCAAGATACTGAAATCAAAACTTCTAAACACCAGAAATCCGCAGTTAAAATCGGTCTCCACTTCTATCAGAGGGGTGTGGGGGTGTCTGTTGCTCTCATTTACCATTGCTATTGGTAGATACTTTAAAAGACTTTTGCTCAAGGAAGAGTGTTTTAGTGAAATACCACTATCCATAACTACTATATTTTGAATTTATGTATCATAATACAAAGAGCCTTTTTCCCTCTTGCTAATTCTTTTTCTGGGTTATGTGTCTGTGCTTTCAACACTGCAACATGGTAAATGGAAGTGCTCAACTACCGCAGACTCCAAACGTGGAAACAGAGTTCAGGTATCAGAAAGGGCAGTCCCCCCAGGGAGCACTCTTGCATTGTATTCAAGTTAAAAAGTGCTAATTTTAGGCTTCTCTTATTTCAGACCTACCAAACTGAATGTTTCTGAAAACTGGCCTCAGCAGGTAGGTCCAGAGTGTTCGGGGAGGTCCATGGTGGATCCCTTGGCTCTGCCTGCAGGTGAAGGGGACGTGGAGATACACGTGCAGGTCCTGAGATTGTAAGATTTGTAATTTGCTTTAGTGTGCAGAGCTCCTAAGACCCTTGTCTCTATAAAGACAAAATGAGGCAAAACAAATTAAAAGTGGCTGCCAAATAAGACCTGTCCTTATCAAGCGATGACACTAGGACAAACTCTCACTGGCTTCCATGGGTTGCATGTGGTGACAGAAGCAGAAGGCAGTAGTCTGTTGAGAGTCATTCTTCCCATCTGAGCTTAGAGATTTGCCTTCTCTGTGGCTGGCTTTGTGACAAATCCGTACCACAGCCTCCTTGGGACAACAGCTTTCCCCACAAGCGCTGCTGCTTCTTTTTATGATCTAAAACCAAAGGAGGGTTTCATTCATCTGCGATAACATCCTTAGCCTTGTACTTCGGTGGGGCAGAGGGTACGAAAGGCCTGAAAATGCGCTATTTCCAGTTAACTCTGCTGTCTTCTCCTTCAGCCACCTACCTGCTCTCAAGGCAAGTTTCACAGTCCCCTGGGAGGTCTCCCCGCCTCTACAGGCCCTTCGGCCAGCCCCTGCCGCCAGGGCCTCCGCCGCGCCAAGGCTGAGGCTGGCTGCTCAGGCTGAGGAGAGAGCCGGTCCCTTTGGCCCCTGGGGCGCCAGAGCAGCGGCGGGAAGAGCCGCGGGCCAGGCCCTTCGCCCCTGCGGGACTTCCCGCCCTAGTGAAGGAGGAGAAGGAAGAAAGGGGCAGCCCAGGCTGCCGGCGGGCGGTGTCTGGGAGGCCCGGGCCGCGGTGTCTGAGGGAGCCGGGCAGCGCTGGCTCCGCGGGCACCTGCCGGCGGTCCCGGCCGTGGGGGGGCGGGGCGGGGGGGGGCGG